GCTCTCAGGTGTCCCTGGAGCCTTCTCTTCTCCCTGGACAAGCTGTGCCAGTGGGAATTCAGACAGAATTCCAGCTGGGTGCTGAAGAACACGGTGGTACCATGGACAGGGCCAAGAGCAAAGGACAAAGGGGAGGCAGAAATTCCGTCTCAAGTTTGCAAAGAGGATGTTCCCCCAGGGAATCCCACAGCTCCTTCCAGAGGTGGCTCTTGGGATCACACAGAAGGGAGGGTTCACTGTCCAGCTCCTCAGATCCCAGTTCCCTAAGGCAGGAGAAGAGAGATCCTCGGGTGGGTATTTGTGTGTCCTCAGGTTTGCTCTGCTCTGTCTTTAGTTCAGTATCACGAACTCCAAAGAGCTCCAAAGAAAGGGAAAGCTGTGATCACACTGGCAGCAAACAATTAAAGCCTGCATAATTACCAGCTGATTGGCTTGATCTCGCTCTTGGCCAGAAGCACTGACAGTGTGATGCAAGACAAAGTAAATAATTAAAGATGAGGCCGTTAATTAATGCAACGTTCTGTGGTGAAAATATTCCACAAACCACAACAACACAGAACCAACATTCCAAAGGGTCTTCACTCCACGGTGGGATCAAAACTCAGCTGGTAAAATTAATTCCAGCCATCAACTTAATGCCATTAAGTAGTTTGCTTAGTACTAGTGGGTTATGATTAATTGAAATTAATTAATTTAAATATTATATACAGCCCTGCCCAAACAGCACCACCAGCTGTGGACAGACATTTCCTGGTGGAACTTAAGGAAGGAATCACACAAGGATGTGGATCCAGCCCTGATTAAAAAGCTGCAAGAATTTAATGCTTAGGAAACAAAATGTTGTCTCTCTCACCTAAAAAAAAAATTTGGACACAACTCTGGGGAGAAATTCAGCCCGAGGCAGCCCCAGAACAGCACATTGCAGTGCAAGCGGTTCAACCTTGCCAAAGCTGTAACTGCTGAAGGTAAATATTATCAGGACGATAAATATTGTCAGGTAACCTCAGTCCTGGGTAATCTGAATCCTAAATGGCCCCCCAGGTGCACAGAGAGCCACAGAACTGGTCAGGCTGGAGAAGACCTTCGAGATCATCAGGTCCAACCATCAACCAGCACTGCAAAGCCATGGCCTCAAGTGCCACATCCACCTGGTGTTTGAGCAATTCCAGGGAGTGTGACCTCACCACCTCCCTGGGCAGCCTGTGCCAACGCCTGACAACCCTTTCCATGAAGAACTTTTCCCCAAAACCCAACCTAACCCTCCCTTGGACCAACTTGAGGCCATTTGCCCTCAAGCTGTCTCCTGTCGATAAGGCTCAACCAGCCCCTCTGTGGCTCCAGCCCTTCTGGTACCACCCCAGGGCTCACTTCATCCACCTCTTCCACCCCAGGAACCTGGGAAACACCCAGTTCAAACTTCCCTGCCTGGGGAAGATCAAGTCACCGTGGGAAAGGTGTTCCCAGAGCCAGGCTGGGGCTCAGGGAGGGCTCAGGTCCATCCTGGAGGAGCCTCTGGGGAGGAAGAACCTCCCTGTGCTCCCTCTCCAGCACCCAAACCTTCCCTCCACCCACGGGGAGCTCTCCCAGCCCTCCCTGCCACTCATGACATTTCCTGCACCTCTTTTGGTTTATTTGCTCCCAGGGTTTTGAAGAAGCCACTGCCTCAAATGTACTTTTTTTGGTTGCTCCTTGGATATGATCTGTACTATCAACCCCTGAATAAAATATAGAGGTAGTGAAGCTGTGAGGAGCATGAACTCCACTTTGCTTTCCCACAAACACAATTTGCCTTGTCAGTTCTTATTTATTTTTAAGACAGTGGCAGGTTACATCTGCCTCACATTGGCCCAGCCAAGGCAAATTAACCCCTTTTTCCACGTGTGATTTATTTTGCTTTCATCTTCTCAAATCTGGCTGAAAATATAAATACAGTAAAGAAAAAAAAAAAGAAAAGGGGTTTTCAAGCTCTGGGGTCAGGATAAATCTTTCAGTCCAGGCTGCTTTTAATACTGCCCTGAAAACCTTTCTCTCAGCATACCAATGCCTCTGTGCAGCCCCAGCGCAGCACAGAGCTGCTACATGAAAAACTAGAAATAAACCCACCTAAAAATGGGTTTCAACAACCCATTATTCCACCCAAAATAAAAGCTCTCTGCTATCATCAGGTTCCTGCCTTGGAGTTATTTATTTGGCTTTTTATTATTCCTGCCCTTGGAGTTATTTATTTGGCTTTTTTTCCTCCGCGCAGCTGTCGAAGAATTGACCAATTTCTTTGCTCTGCTCTCATTCCCAGTGAAATCTAAGTCTCCTTTTTAACCATTTCATCATTTTTCTTCCACGTTTTTGGTTCCCCAGTGCTTCAGCTTCATCTGTTGTGATGAGAGCTGGGACCAGAAGGGAGCTGCTGCTCTCAGAGCAGTTCCACTCCACGTGGCAGGGAATATATTTACTAAAGACATTGGATTTAACCTTTAAAGCCTGAGAAAAGCACCAAAGTGTTACTTTTAGTTTTCTTAACCCAGGATAAATTAGCATGATGGGATAGACTCCAAATGAGAACCTCATAAACCCACTTTAGCTGTGATTTTCAGTCCCGTGGCTTTGTGTGGCCCGGTGATAAATCACAGCAGCCACTCACGCTGCCCCAGCGCCTGCAAAATAATTGCCTTTCACTGAGTCCCCACAGCTCTGGGCCCAAAGTGTGAGGGACAGTAAATTGAACTACCTGGGATTAAATAAAGACTTGCTTTGGTTTCCCTCAGAGCCCCCTTTGGGATTAAACTCCAAAGACCTGGAGAAGTTTGTGGCTGTGAAAATGCCTCCAGGTAGGCTCTGGATGATGTCACCAAAGGCTGGGTCAGGTTTGGAAGAAGCAGAGCCCTCAGGCCCTGGGGTGAAGTGTTCCTACCATGTTTGTGCCCTGTGCCAGGAAATTGTACCCCACGAAATTCCTGCCAAGGGGATGCCATTCCTAAAATCCCAGAGGGATTTGGGTCGGAAGGGACCCTAAATCACCACGTTTCTACCCCCTGCCATGAGCAGGGACACCTTCCACTAGCCCAGGTTGCTCCAAGCCCTGTCCAACCTGACACTTCCAGGGATTGAGATAAATCCAAAATAGGAAAAAAGCCTCCTGTTTTTCCTATTAAACAGAATTTTACTGGAAAACCCCACCTGAGGGGCTAAAACAGATGGTTTCCTTTAGTGCCAGGACAGATGGGTATGGAAGGTCCACCCTGAAAGCAGGGTCCCTGGGAGGTGCCCTGCAGCAATTCCATTAAATCCATCCCCTCTCTACTGGGAGCAGTGAAGCAGAAAAATCATGTCCATTTTCCTCTGACAGGGTTCAAGGAGCTGCCCCAAAATAAAACCCCTGTTCAGATCTGCTTGTAACTGGAGCCACACTGGTAAACAAGAATAAAATCCTCCCAGCCACAGGACATCTTTCCTTCTGTGAAATTTCTCCTCTACATTTCTTGTCTGTTGGTTTCTTCTCCCATCATTCCTTTCCAAGCTGCTGTCAGGGGGATTTTGAGCTCAATTTGGGCTGTTGCTCTGACACAGAGACTGGTTTGGGTTGGAAGGGACCCTCAAGACCATCCCATTCCAATCCCCTGCTGTGGGGACACTTTCTCCTAGAGGAGGTTTCTCCAAGCTCTGTCCCAGCCTGGCCTTGGAGCCCTCAGGGCTCTGTAGGGAGGCTGAGGCTGCTCCTGCTGAGCTCCAAGAGATCCCACACTGAGCAGCCTGGACACCTCTCCCAGCTGGTGCACAGGAGCAGGGGCTTCCTGAGCCACCACCACAGCTCAGCAGTGGGGAGGAGAACTTGGGAGGAGATGCTTTACTTGACAGAGATGCTTTTTATCCTCCAGTGATCCTTAAAAATGCCTAGAAAAGCAGCCTAGAGAAATGGGGAACCTACACCTGATATTATTACAGGAGCCACAGCTGAGAGGAAGAATCAAGCCTTGCCTGTGTAAACCCCCAGTTTACCATCCAGATCCGAGACACTGAAGATAAAAGACACCCAAAGTTTGTCTCCACCCAGCACATTAATTATCCAACCTCCTCCCCCAGACTCTGATCTTGTGTTCTGGCTCCACAAAGTCCTTTTTGAGACAGGGAACAAATTCCAACACCCCTCTGTTCTCCGGGAGTCTGAAGTGGTTGGAGCCTGTGATCTGCCCACCCTGCTCCCTGAGCCCCACAGAACACAAGAGGAAATTCAAGCCTCGCTGCAAACTTCAAATACAAGAATTTTGTTGCCTGAAGACTCTCTCAGGTCTCCCTTAAAGCCACCCTGACAGGTCTTGCAGAGCAGGGAGATTTCCATGTTGCCCAGAGAAACCTTTATCCTGAAACCACGAAAACGAGCTAAATATCCCATTTTGTCACCGACCACAACCCAAACTTGATGTCTTAAGCTATGATTCCACTTGGAAGGATCTTTCTCTTTGGCAATTCTTTAGTTGAAAAAGGAGCAGAGTTACCCAATATAAGAAGGATTTAAAACTCTTAGAGAGCATCCAAAGGAGGGCGACGGAGATGGGGAAGGGCCTTGATTTGAAGCCATGTGAGGATGCTGAGGGCACTTGGAAAAGAGGAGACTGAGGGGAGACCTCACTGCAGTTCCAGTTTCCTCAGGATGGGCAGAGGAGGGGCAGGACTCAGCTCTGCTCTGTGTGACAGGGACAGCACCCAGGGAGGGGCTGGAGCTGTGCCAGGCAGGGTCAGGGTGGATCTCAGGACAAGGCTCTTCCCCCAGAAGGTGGTTGGCACTGAACAGGCTCTCCAGGGCAGTGGGCACAGCCCCAAGGCTGCCAGAGCTCCAGGAGGGCTTGGATGATCCTCTGGGGCACAGGGTGGATTGTTGGGGTGTCCTGGGCAGGGCCAGGGGTTGGATTCTTGTAGGTCCCTTACATCTCAGTATATGTTGTGGTTCTGTGACACCCACCAGCACCCACCCCACCCCAACGCCCCCATCCCGCCCTCCAGCCCACCTGTGACGAGGAAGCTGCAGCGCCCGGCGCCGGCCTCGTTGATGATGTTGCAGTTGTAGAGGCCGTAGCTGTCCCTGGCCAGGCTGCCCACGGTGTAGTCGGTGGAGTCCTGCAGGTCGAACTGGCCGGTGCGGAGCAGTTTTCCGCCCAGGCGCCACTCGTAGGTCAGCACGCGCGTGGGGTACGCGCGGAGCACGCGGCAGCTCAGGGTGACGCTGCGGCCCTGGCCCTGCCGGATCTCCAGGAACGTGGGCTCCACGGCGGGGGGGTCTGTGGGGGACAGCACACGGGGTTAAATGCACGGTATTAAGAGTTTAATGCAGCTTTTTAGCGCTCTGGAGTAGAACTTGTAACTCCCCACCCTTTGTACCAAACCCCAGAAATATTGAATGTTTCCCACTGAAAGGTTTGAACGGACAGAGGTTTTCTAGCAGGGCAGAGAACGTCTCGTCTGCAGAGAAGGTACCTAAGAACAGCACAACAGGCACATGGTTTGACATACCCCAGCCCAAAGCACTCAGAGAGGACTCAGAAACTGGTCCAAGCAGAACAGAGGATCGTGAGGAAGATGAAGATGGGAGGAAGGGGGGTTTTTTGAGACCACCAACTCAAATCTGGGAGGTGTTGCCTGAGGGAGGTCCAAGGGGATGGACAGTTCATGGGCTGGGTGTAATGACTAGATATTATAATTAGCTATAGTTTCCTAGCTATTAGTTATAATTTAGTTATATTTAATTTTATTTTATTATAATTAGTGTTATAAAAATTGTCAAACCTATGCTGTGGGGGGACAACACACAATGTGTATATTGTGCCCTTAAAGCCCTTTGCTAAAGATAATTAAATTATCTTTCTATACTAAAAATTGCCCAGAGAATTTTTTTTCTCTGATTTAGGTAACAGGAGAGCAGGAGGTTTGTAAAGTGATTCATAAATCATTCACAAATCCCTGAATTAAAGTAATGAGAGGCAGAGTTAACCAGGCAAGGCTGGGACACCAAGGAGAAGGTTGCAACCTCAATGGATATGGACCACCTGGTGACACAGATGTCCCCACACAGAGCTCTGTGTCCTGCCTATCAGCACCTTCTTAGGGCACAGCCTTGAGCTGCACCAGGGCAGGTTTGGGCTGGACATCAGGAAGGAATTCTTTCCATGGAGAGTGCTCAGCCACTGGAATGGGCTGCTCAGGCAGGGGTGGATTCCCCGTCCCTGGGGGTGTTCAAGGACAGGTTGGATGTGGCATCAGTGCCATGGGCTGGGTGACAGGGTGGGGTTGGGTCCTGGGTTGGACTGGATGACCTGAGAGGGCTTTTCCAGCCTGGGGGATTCTGGGATTCTTATCTTCACAGACTCCATGCCATGCTCCTTCCAGGAGTTCTCCTTCACCACTCTCTCTCCAAGAGCATCTTATTCTCAGGTAATTCCTGACTTAACTGTGGTCACCATCAAAAATACCAACAACCTTCAGACCTGATGTCTATTTCCCTACAGAACAGAAGCTGAGACCGCCTTCCCTCAGCAGCTGTAAACCAGGAACCAACCAGGACACGTCCAGCTTATCAACACCGAGCACCCCAGGACAACAAACTTACGGCTGGAGAGGCAGAAGAGGTCCCTGCCCATGAAACCAGGAGACTCAGCCCCACCAACCCTCCCAGAGGAACCACAGGCTCCAACTGATGGGACACAGTGGAAGAGAAAAGGGGAGAATCACAGAAATATGGAATGTCCTGATTTGGAAGGGACTCCAAGGATCAAAATCCAACCCCTGGCCCTGCCCAGGACACCCCAACAATCTCCCCTGGTCCCTCAGAGCGTTGCCCAAACCCTCCTGGATAGTCCTTATGAGTCCCTTCCAGCTCAGGAGATCCTGGGATTCTCTAAACTCTGCAGTGGCAGGAGATGGATCGATGGAGCTGCACAGACACCCCTCCACCCCAGCACTGCCTTCAGGCTCCAACAAATACACAGTCACATATTCATCGTTTTTATCCCTTCAGGTGGCAGTTGTGACATTCCAGTAAGCCCAGAATGGGTCATTTTCCCATAACCAGAACAGGCTGTTTTCCCATAACCTGAATTAAACCTCATTTTCAATAATTCAGATTTGCAGCTACGAACCCCGGCAGACTTTTGATTGCAGCAAAAGGCAAAATAAATAAAATATAACCACCACCCAGCGTCTGCACCAGCCCAACCTCCCCCTCCCATCGGCCTTCTGGTAACTCAATCATTGCAGCAGGAAAAGGGCAAGCTGGACAGAATAATGTGGGCACTCAGCTCTTGTCAGCACAGCTCTTTAGAGCTGGGGACACACGGGGAATGCACAATGGGCTGCAGGACAGGACACTGTGGCTCTGTAAGAGACACAACTCACTTGGTAACCCACGAGATGGAAGAAATCCTGAAAGCCCCCTGTTCCAATAAGACACAGGGAACCTTGGCATCCATATAAAAGAGCTGCTTTAAGGATGTAAAATATAAAAATAGAGAAGCCACAGTGAGCTCTGAGAGAGAAGAACCTCCAGAGAGTCCATGCCATGCTCTTCTCAGAAGTTCTTCTTTCCCTCCATTCTTCAAGGGTATCTTATTCTCATGTTCTCCACTGGTTGTCCTCTCCATCACAAGTACAATTAACTCAGACTCCTGATATTTAATTCCCTATATCATGGAAACTGTAACCACATTCCCTCAGCTCCTGTAAATTAGGAACCAACTTGCACATGGACCGTGCTCTCCACCTCTTGCTCAGACAAGAGTTTAGCTGAACACAGAGGGCAGGAAATTAAAGGGAATTTTGGAGATTGCCATATTAAGATGTTGCTCAAAGCTCACGACACCCACTTGTCTTTGGAGCTCATCCCAATAATCAGCCTTTGTCTTGTGTCATGATCCAAGATCCGGTATCCAAAGGGGCTCCAGGAGAGCTGGAGAGGGACTGGGGACAAGGATGGAGGGACAGGACACAGGTTCTGTGTCCAGAGGGCAGGGTTAGATGGGATATTGGGAAGGAATTGCTGGCTGGGAGGGTGGGGAAGGGCTGGGATGGAATTCCCAGAGAAGCTGTGGCTGCCCCTGGATCCCTGGGAGTGTCCAAGGCCAGGTTGGATGATGCTTGGAGCCACTTGGGCTACTGGAAAGTGTCCCTGCCCATGGCAGGGCTGGCACTGGATGGGCTTTAAGGTCCCTCCAACCCAAACCATTCTGGGATTCCATGAAGTTTGGAATTACTGGGAGAGGACTGCCAGGATTTGGCAGGAAGGTGAGCAGAGGGGCAAATGAAGAGCATGAGAGGTGATTCACAGGGCTCAGTGGTGCAGGAGGGCAAGGTGACAGACATTAACTCTGGGGACAATTGGCCCTTACTCAAAGTTATCAAAAACAAAACAAAACAAAACAAAAAAAAAGACCAATGAAGACAAGAATTTGGAAAACTCCCACTGGAAAACTCCACCGATCCCAGCTGGACTTTTCCTCCTCATGGATTAAATATCACAGTGGCTTTGCTTGAGTTTGATGCCAGAACTTTAACTGGTGCATGAACTGCAGCACAGCCCCAGAAAACTGTAAATCATAGCCCAGAACTCCTAAATCCTCAATGCCACACACCCTTCTCTGTCAATAATACCCCCCAATTTGGTGTCATCAGAGAATTTCATCACAGCTTGACTGTTCTTTGAGCTCAGGTACAGAACAAAAAGGACAAAATAAGATAAATTTGGAAGAAAATTCCTTGAGTGTCCAGCCTCACGTTTGCCCTTTCAACACAACCCAAGAGTGGCTCCAGCTGCCCTCACTGTACAACTCCTGCACCTTATCCTGCCTCAGTAACGGTTTGGGAACCATTATGGGTACCAGAGAAATTACCAATCAATTTTACTAATGTTTCCTATTTTCCATTCATTTTCCCACCCTCATACACAGTCTCTCCAGGTCTGGTTTAATCATTTCAGCCAAGATAATTCCACATCCACACCCCCCTTCAGCCCTATTGCCTTCACCCTCCCAGCCAGCACCAAAATCCACCTTTCAATCTGGGGCAAACCGAGTCAGACCCCGAACAATCCACCAAATAACACAACATCAGGATGCTGAGACAGCAGGAAGGAAGATCCTCCTGATCCAACACCCTGCCCTGAGTTCCTGGGGGCGAGGGAGAGCACGGGGAGCTTTGGGATGGGAACATTCTGGAAGCTCCGTGAGGTGTGAGCAGCTTTAATGGCTGGTTTGGCTGCGCTTTGCTCCCATAACTCACAAACCTGTTCACTGTCTGAGCATCCAAACCCTTGTCTGCACTTTGTAACAGCGTTCCCTGCTCTGTTTTCTCTGCTGCCTCCATTTACAGCTCCAAAGCCAGGGAACAACCTCTCCCCTCCCCACGGCAGCTCTGCCTCAGCCACTTCCAGCACACATTGGTATTCAGTGCCCTCTCTCCTCCTCCCCTGCTTTATTTACTTATAAGATACTTTAGCCTTATAAATAGCTTTTAAATGAAACTTTCCCCCTGCCTTTAAGGTCAAAACAGTCTTTAAAGCCCCGAATTTCCATCTATCCAGGAACTGATGATACCCAGTGACAGAAAGGGAAAATTAACTCGGGTTGCTCATTTCAGAATTACACTTTTGCAGGTAATAACTTTAATGGAAAAGGAAAGGGATGATAAAGCCCACGATACACAGAACTAACAGCTTGTTTTTCTTTTTTTTTTTTTTTTGTTGTTGTTGTTTTTATAAAATAGTGACTTCTGAGATGTTCATCTTGGGCATCTTCTGAGAGAAACGATGCTCAAAAGGAAACTGGAGCTGTTTACAACCTATATGTGTTTAATTCATTTGCATTAGCTCTTCCCCGAGGCTTCAGCAATTTGATTTAATTTACTTTTCCCTACTTATTCCCATCTTTCACAATTCCAGTGTTGGTTTTTTGGTTATTTTTTGGTGTGGGTTTTTTTGGTTTTTTTTTGAAAAACACACAGAAAAACCCGCAAAGGGACTCGGGTTCCTTCTCTTAGCAATTATCTCTGGGAAGCAAATGGGCTGAAGTTAAAACAGGCTCTGTATTAATGTTTAATGAACTTTTGGGGAGCCTAAGTACATTCATGTCTCCAGGAATATAAAGTGGAAGAGGGAGGTTTCTCCTGCTATCAAGAGAAATGACAGAAAGGAACGCTTGTTTGTTTTAAACCTCTTCATGGCGAGCATCATACCCTGCTCTTTCCTGGAGGGGTTTTTAAGGAGAAAACAATAATAAGTGAATTTATTTTCTCT